AGTGTTTGTGTTATTCGATTTTTTTGGTTTTTCATTTGGATCGGGGAAGACCGCTAGCTTGCAAATTTGCTGTGAATCGGCCTTTAGTACTTTTGGATTATGAGTTATTGAAGTTGCATTTGTGCCGTCTGAATTAGCTGTGATTGGCTCTTTGGGGTTTACAATTTTGGTTTGGCTTTAGTTGAAGGAGCATTGGACTTCCAAGAAAAGCTTGAGGAAAGTAAAATGAGTCCAACATTTAAATGATAATCACTTGAGTGTGTGAGCATGTATTTTGAGAAGAGACTTAGGTGTAATTGTAAATTAGTAGATGTATGAATTATTTTTGTTCTGTTCTGCATTTTCCACAAGAAGATTGTATGGAAACTGTGGTTTCAACATTCATGGCTAATCAGTTAAACATTTGAAGTTAGGAGTAGAACGTTGATTCATAATTTTTTGGGTATATTTCTTATTATTCGCATAGCTTTACTGAAGGTTGAACTTGCACTTAGTTATGGATAAATGGAGAGCAAATTCAATTATATTTTGAACATAAAATGCCAGTCATGAAATGATAATTTGATTTCCTTCTGTTTTGATATGATTAAGTACATGCGGTTTGATCTTTTTGGACACTTATACTCTTATTCTTGGTAAAGGCAGAACGAAACATGGTAAAAAGGTTGAGTGGACGTCAAAGGATCTGCTTAAGGGACTGGAAGAATTTGTTCCCATATATGAAACCCGACCAATAAAGAACAACATGTATGGGATGGGTTTTGATCATAGTTTTGGGCTTTGGTTTATAGCTCAGTGGCTGAAGCCAGATCTGATGATTGAGAGTGGTGCTTTTAAGGGACATTCAACTTGGGTTTTGCGACAGGCTATGCCTGACACACCAATTATCTCTATAACACCAAGGCATCCAGAAAAGTATCTCAAAAAGGGGCCTGCTTATGTTGATGGAAACTGCACATATTATGCTGGCAAGGACTTCGTAGATTTTGGAAATGTTGACTGGTCAAAAGTAATGAAGAAACATGGAATTAGTGACCTTAGTCAAGTTCTTATATTTTTTGATGATCATCAGAATGAATTGAAAAGGTAATTTCTGGATCCTTGAGGAAGCTTGTTTGCATTGATCACTACTTCTGCTAAACTTGCCATAGCTTAATATTTTTTTCTTTTTTCCCCTTAAATTTTATGTTGGGCAGAATTAAGCAAGCTTTAAAAGCTGGGTTTCGGCATCTTGTTTTTGAGGATAACTATGACACTGGAACTGGAGACCATTATTCATTGAGGCAGATATGTGATCAATCCTATATAAGCGGTTTGTATTCACTCATTGTATTGTACTCCATGTTCTTTCTGTCAGAGTGAGAAACTCATGTAATCTTCAGTCCCCAGCGGAAGAGTTTCAATGATGTTCCATTTCCTATTGAGATTGATTTATCTCAATGATTTATGCTGGATGAGCTTTGCTGAGAGGAACAGAATCTTAACAAATTTTATCTATTCATTTGTTGATCTAGGAGGGGGCCACAGCTGCTTTAGAGATAGTGATGAAGCTAGGATCAGGTCAAGAAGGAAGAAATTCTGGGAGAAAGCTGTTGATATCGAAGAACTTTGCGGACCAGGAGATCAGTGGTGGGGAGTTAGAGGCTACATGCGTGATAACTTCAATCATAGTAATAAGCCAATTTCATATGCAGAACATTTTGAGAACAGCAGGTTTGTGGAATCAATCCTTGATGTTTACTGGGAACTCCCTCCAGTTGCTGGCCCTTCCCTCACCCATCAAACCAGATATGATCCTGCCCGTGCAACCAGTCCTATAGTTGAAGATGGCCGCTATGGTCTGTTCCAAAGGCTTGGTTTGGCCAGACTCGACAATAGTGTATTTAATGGGTATACTCAGATAGTTTATTTACAGATATCTGAAGAATCTAGATGAGTTTACGAGGAATTTTTATAGTGTATTTTGTATGAATTGTTGCTTCAGTTGATTAAGGCTTGATATGTAGTGGTTTCCCCACTTTAAATTCTTCGTTGACTGACCTTATCTTCTTTGTCTGGTTTAGTAACTCACTAACTTCTTTTTTCCGGCCCAAGGGAAAAAAAAAAAAAAACTTGTGCATGACTTAGTTGCCAATGGATGGATGTTTAACTAATATTACTTTCTTTTGTAATTCCTATGAAGTTTTGTCAACAAAACAAAGCCTATGGTCGCTTGCATCATCTTGGAAATTTAACTATTTCGAGCATGCCACAGGGCATGAGAACGGGTTGATCCAAGGAATGGAAAATTTTAGTCCAACGAAGCCCTACGATCCAAGGGAATGAAAATGTTGATCCATAAGTTAAATGGCACTCGAAAAGGTAATTTTATAAGCAGATCTTGCGTCGAAGCTCGAAGGTGAGGTAGCGACCACATGTTCAGCCGTTTTAAGAATGAAACTTGACTCACTATAATAAATGTGAAGCTTAAGTTATCATGTCATGAGGTAATTCAGAGTAGAGTAGGGTCTACTATTCACATTTCTTTGAATAGGGTGCTTTCATCATCTTCCCCTTTGATATGAGGGGGAATGACGGGGAAAAAGAGAAAAAATTTTAACGAGTTCTATTTAAAAAATTGAAAAAGTTGGTTTAAAAATTTCTAATTAATTTTACTTATTTTTTTTTATCTTACCTTTTCTCTTTATCAAAATTTTATAATTATATATTTTTTTATTTTTCAAATCGAGTTTATTAAAATTTTTCTTCCTTCCCCTCTAGCATACCAAACATGGGGTTAAGATGGGCTTATTAGCTGATCAATTCTCATTCCCCAGGTCAAGTGCATTTCCTCTTCAAATGAACCCCCTTTCAGTTTCACGGTCACCTACTTTACATTCTACACCCTTTCATTCTTTGAAATTTAAATGATGGGCTCAATGTATCTAAAAGAGTGTTCCCATCACCAGAGGAATTAACATTGCTCTTTTGTATTGATGTATTATTGTTTACCACTCACTTATTTGTTCAAGGAATTCTCATTTTTAAGATAATCCCAGCAGGTTAGATATGTGTTTTTTCACATCTCCTGATCTCGGAAAAAGTTCCATTTTGTCCTATACCAATGCTGCATCTGGTACAATAACAATAATTCACTCTTGCAGTATCAGTAACGATGTGATCATGCATGAATCTATTTAATTTAAGTAGCCGTATCTGTCAAACTTGTCACCGTAAGGATGTTTAACATTCTTTTGCATGGAAATCAGTGCAAAATTTTAGATTTAAAAAAAGGAAAGCAATGGCCCACATGGAAGCCATTGGACGTAGCTGTAATCTTCATTGCTTATTAAACCATCCACAACGTATAGCTTCTGCCATAATACCACACGCCATTCACAAACCCCACTCCTAGCACCACTTTTAATTCATAACCATCACCACCACTTTTGAAGAATCTTTTGGTATTGAAAGAAAGAAGAAGAAGACGACAAGATCAACGGCCTCAATGGACTCTTCCAACTCAACTGATGATACCCCATCCTTTTCTTTTAGAAGCTCTACTCAAACCACTTTCTTGAGAAGCCATTCCACGAAAGAGCTTCCTTTCTCAGATTTCCCTCACTCGCCGCCTCGCCTTTCGTGTCCTACGCTTTCCCGGAGCCTCCAGGCGTCTCCTCTTTCCTCTCCTCTCCATCCTCGCACCACAAACACAAAGCTTTCTGATTCTGAAGAACCACAAACCACTTACCACTGTGCTTCCTCTGTCCTCAGAAAAGATGGTCAGATCCTGTCCATTTCACTGTCAAATAATGGATTGGTCTACACTGGTTCAGATTCAAATGTGATAAGGGTGTGGAAGCTTCCAGAATTCACAGAGTGTGGACAGCTCAGAACCAAGGCTTGCAGAGTGGTGGCAATAGAGGTGTCGAATGATACAGTATTTGCAGCCTATGGAGATGGAAAGATTAGGCTTTGGAGAAGAACATGGGATAGGGTTTTGAAGCATGTTCGTTTGGGAACAATCCCGAAGAAAGTTGGATCCGTTCGGAGTTACATCCTCGGCAGAGACAAGACAGTAAGTGTAACGACGCCCTTGATTTCTGGTTTAGGTTAGCTTTTGCATTTATGGTTTTGTTGACAATGTTGGTGTTGGGTGTTGGAACCTTTCATGTGCTTCTTTATGATAGTAGATATAAGTGGGCATGCATGCAGGCTCAAGAGTAAAGAGGGATACGGTTTTTTCTTTCTTAGCACGGAATTGATTTAACTCATGTCTTGTTATTAAATTCAAACCATCATTTTCGTCCTCCATGTATCACAAAAATATGCAAAATATTTCAATTATTAATAACATTTTAGATAAACTATATTTTCTTGTCATAAATTAAAATATTTCTGAATAGATATATCTTAGAGTGTATTCGGTTTCACGTTGAAAACTATCAATCCTAATAATTTTCAGCGTAAAACGAAACACAATGTTAGAATAATTTTCAACATGAAATCAATCACACTCAAATACATTTGTTTACTTCATTATAGACAAATCCTACATAGTTATATATGTGAGGATACTGCTTTGAGTTAGTTACTTCTTTTGTATAGTCTTTGCACCATAGCCTTGGTTTTTTTTTTTTACAAAGAAAGTTGAAGTACCCTTAACCAATCTTCCCATTGTATAGAACTTTGATAGTAATAGTTCCTTTACAAACCAAATGTTGATCTCCATCCAGTTTAAAAGATCAAACAATCCTTAAGAAAAACTAGCCTTCACTTTTCACAAGTACAGAGGCACTCTGTTATAACATTCATTCAATAGGTTGGATGGGTATTAATTAAAGGGGTGACAGAGTTTTGCTGAAATTGTCACAAACATTACACAATGTTTTTATAAATTGTGGGAAGAGGTAGGGTCACTGCCATAGATTTCTGCATTTATTGATTCACTCTATTTATTACTATATATATATATATAGATCATTAATTCTAATTTTCCGCTGTGAATATACAATGAAGGCTCATCCAATCATCTTAGAATATTTTCATTGATGCCAAATTCATAGCCAAAATGGCAATGTAATGAGTTATGATACACATCCATATACCAGGAGCTAAGACATGCGCTGTTCATAGTTTGTGAGAATAAAGAGTGTTTCACAACAAAAGAAAAGGATAAAAATACACATATAAATATGTTGGATGTAATTTTCACATTGCTTTTAATTTCTTCGATGTTAACTTCATATTTTTTTATTACTGAGTTCATATTTTTTTCACAATTTTCTTCTGATAACTAATTTCTATCTCTGGTTACCTAAAAGTTAAGATTTTTCTGCAATGAGAGCCTTCTTCTTCGTGATAAGTTCATTTTCGCCTTTTGACAGATGAAGCATAAGGGGCAAATCACGTCAATGGCGGTCAACACAGCGGAGGACATTATATACACAGCTTCCATTGATAAAACAGTAAAAGTATGGCGAATCTCAGACTTGAAATGCATAGAGACCATAAAAGCACACGTTGAGCCCATCAACGCCGTCATCGTAGGCGACGACGGGGTTCTCTACACCGGCTCCGATGATGCAACTGTCAGAGTTTGGCGTCGGAACTTTTGCAGCCACGACACGCCTCATTCCCTCACAGTAACACTACATGCGAAATGCTCACCGGTAAAAGCCTTGGCTCTAACCTCCGACGGAGGTGTGCTGTATGGTGGCTGCTCCGACGGCTACATCCATTTCTGGTTAAAGGGTTGGTTCGCTGGGCAACTCCAATACGGCGGCTCAATCCAAGGCCATACACACGCAGTGCTGTGCTTAGCCAGTGTGGCGAACTATGTAGTGAGCGGTTCAGCAGATTCCACGAGCAGGATATGGGAAAGAGAACAAGATGGTCAACACACGTGTTTAGCAGTTCTGGCTGGTCATAGAGGACCAATTAGGTGTATATCAGCTTTTATAGGAGGAAGATTTGGCGAAGATAGTGAGGATACTTGTAGTGTTTGTACTGGAAGCCTTGATGGAGTGTTGAAGCAATGGCGTGTGGCAAAAACCAACAAGTGGGATAGCAATCAATGTTCACCACAAAATGAGGGCGGCAAGTACTTTGAACTTTGAAAGAAGTTCAAAAAGTTCCATGAGCCAATCATCATATAGCCTAATGGTATGAAAACTCTCATATAAGTGAAAGGTTATGAGTTTAATACCTCCTAAAAATGAAAACAATTGAGTTAGTAATTGCCAAACTTAATGTAATTTGAGCTACTAATTTTGCCATGGACAGAGATATATGATGAAATTTTACCTTTCAAAATATACCTTGAGCTTTAGCTCATTCTTCCAGCAGAGTCAACCTCACACCTTGTTTTTCTTTTCTGTTCTGGTTTTTTCCCCCCCAGTGTGAAACATCTGACATGTTCAATACCCAATTATGGTTGATTTTGGTGTGTTTTGGGCGAACCAAGCACGACAGCTGCTCCGATTACCAAAGGAATTTCTCATAAAAAGAATCTGTATTCATGCCGCTTTTGTAAATAGTAAAATTTTTACTATCAATCATCATATCATAAACATGAATGTTTGAACAGGACAATTAACCAATAGCCACACCCCCTCCTGGTCACAACAAAATTTTGCACTAATTGAGAAATTCTCTATTGACATGAGAAACCTTGCCATGACAGTTACCTTGCACTCTCTATCTAGCTTCCGTTTGAATATGTTGAAAAATGCAGTCGGTGATCTTTTTACATCTCTAAACACCTGAGCATTCCTCTCTACCCACAAATGGTAAATGAGAGCAAAAATCATCAATCTTCTAACTCTACTGTACTTCCAAATGGATAAAATCTTAGCAGTCCACCTGTTAAATTTTTAAGGAAACTTCCTCGCTTGCAGCCAAAACCTTCTCTGAAACGGCATGCTCTATATAAGTGTTGAGTAGATTCAGCACATTAAGATTACCAAGTCTCATGATCAATCTTTTCAGCAGTTGGGCTAACCATAAATGATCCAATGTCATAACATAGTGGTCTCCTCGGTGAGTTTAACCAACGCCAATAACTTCAAAATGCATTCATTAAGAAGCTGTAGTTACAACATCTACAACATCATCAGACTCATCAACAATCATTTCGTCTCTGAAAAGCAATTTCAAATACGGAAGAACCCTAGGAAGCACAGGCAAATCTGCTATATTGATGCTCATCATGTCAAATGCAACACAAGTTTTGTGCATGTGTGTTTCGTCAAATACAGGAATTTTGGGGTATCTTTGGCTGAAGTGAGTAAGCACGATTCGGTATGCATTAGCTGAGTCTCCCACTTCCACAGCTTCTTTTGTGGTGCTGTGGTTCCTTGACATGGCCTCCTCCAACAAAGCATCCTCAAAAGTTGCCTGCATATCAGAAGCAAAAAATTAACATGAAATTGATGGGCACGATCAATAAAAGATAGGTAACTTAATCACAAAAAAAATGCATGAAGGAATCAAAGGTGGACCCCATTAAAAATATCGAAGATGAAGTTGTTGTGAGATAATAACCATATTCTTAGACTCAATTCACTACAGTAGAAATGGCTTGAATGGTGCTGAACAGGCCTGTTCCCGTCATATAAATATATATATTTTTTACATCAAAATAATAGCTGAACTACAAATTAAAGCAAGAAAAAAATGAGCCCCGAGTCTGAAAATTGTAGTTAGGCGATGAAAACTATAGTTTTACAACTAGAGACTAAAAGCTAAATCACATGGATGCCCCCTAGTAGTTTTGTTAATAATTCGCCGACCTGAAATAAAAACTGCAAGATTTTAAGCTTACGTGTTGCCATTGGACCTGCAATGCATAACATGGTTATGATTCAGAAACAAACTCTTGCTCTTGCCAGCAAATCACTTTCTTTGCGATTCCCACTCGGAGAAGATGGGCAAGAGCATATTTGAATCTAATGTGACTTGCCCCAACGGACCTTGTTTCTCAATAAAAAGCACTCACTTAACACTTCCCGTCATTTCACAGTCAGTAAGGTAAAAGACATACCTCATGTATAAGAACCGTAGCACCTCGAGATGCTTCTACTAACTCAGGGCAGGGTCTAGTGTCCCCAGAATACACAATCTTCCAACCAGGTATTACTTTCCCAACACTATTAACCCTCTCTGCAGCTTTCAGAACAACACCAAATGCCTGAGGACAATGTACAACAGGGAAACTAGTCAAGGATTCCAGACCAGCTTCCTGCATAACCCTCTTCAACTTCTTTATGATAGGATAAATCACATTCTTGTCAACTGGACTACCCGGTCTTTTAAAATAGCTCTGCATACGAGATCCTTTAGCAAACAAAGTTGAATCAACTTCTGGTGCAGTCATTTCATTATCATTTTTATCTGGTCCACCATCTTCATAAGCTCCAAACGAAGCTATTGTGGTGTGCCTGCAGTCGAGAAACTGCATATCTAAATCTTCAAGTCTTTGATATGCGTCCAAATATCTCTTGAGCTGCCTTGGTCCTACAACAAGCACTGGTTCATGAGGAACCCCCTTCAACAAATCACGCCGCAAAGCCAGTATTCTGGCCAGGCCAGTATGGTGATCAGCATGTATATGAGAAATCCAAATACACCTCAAAGATTTTACAGCATCATCAGCGCCATCTACACCATACCTGTTTTCAGGATATCAACCGACATATGTTAGATAATTAGATTAAATCTTCAAACAAGTACAGTGTTATAAAGGAATATTAAAAAAAAAAAAAGGTTCAGACTTACCTTCTTTTAAGTTGACCCAATGTTCCTTCTCCACAATCCAAGAGTAAGCCCCCTTTTGAAAAAAGATTTATATATATTGCGCTCACATTTCGATATTTAGATGGTTGGGATGAACCGGTTCCAAGAAGAACTATCTCCAAGTCATCTCTTCTTATATCTTCCAAACAACTAGGAACACCATCTGCGCACAGCCATGGCTCTTCAACCAGTATCTTACGATCTGCTATAGGAGTATCATCCTTTGTTTGACTGGACTTCAAACAGAGCTGGTTTACATGTTGGGCTGCCTCAACAACCTCAGGAATTTGTGAGAGTAACTCTTCAATGATTTCTGAGGTACCCATAGTAGTTGGAACAAGAGATCTATCCAACCCAAGATGAGCATAAGGACGCAAGGTGAACTGTAAAACATAGAGTGACATTTATGAAACCTGTTGGCAGAAGCCTCCTATTTGTTCATAAAGGCATCAAATGTAGCACGGCCTTAGAGATACGGCAAGAAGAAAAGGCAAAGCAGAAGATTACGATCAGATAACAAATTATTATCAAAAGGACATTGAACCACCATGTCTTAAGAATGGAAGTGTCCTGAACCTTAATAATTTGCTTGGGCCATGAGAAAACTTGATGAAGAAAAGAGATTTTTTTAGAGTCAAATGGTCAGTCATATGGGTTATCTTTCTAAGGCATCAATTAAGGCACATATAAAGAATAATCTCAATTACTATTTATTTTATTGGCTTGAGCATGTAATTTTAATTTCCATCTAAAAACCTCTAATTATAGAGGCCATTGAACAATAGAATAAAGTATGTTCATGTTGTTTCTCTTTCCCTTTCTTAGTTTTCCACTTGTTTCCTCTCCCCCCTTATCTCTATCTATTTCTCCACATTTTCTTTCCCTTCTATTTCTTTTTATTAACCCCTTTCCCCAGCAAGTCCAACATCAAAACCACCCTCCCAAGGTTTTCATGAAGAATAGGTTTCTTATATTCTTTCTTGGAATATTCTTCCAAGAAAAAAACAGAAGAAAATTGCTTAAATTTTCTATTTTATAAATTTAATGATATTATTAAGACTCGGTTTGCAGCAATAGTGATAATCATTATTCATTTCAGGGGTGATATGTTTTTATTTCATGAAAGTTATCAACAAAATCTATTCATTAGCCACTTGTACTTTAAAAGACATGGATTAATTCATGCTTCTCAGACTCCAATTCAGAAGAATGATCAATAACAATCTTGTCATTAGCCATTGGAAGTTTGAAAGACATGGTTTCATTCAAATAATGCCTTAGACACCAGGATTTTTTCCCCATGCAACAACTCCAGGAATTTTATGATGCGAGACTTCAGCAAATTAGTTTATCGGAGAGTCAAGTAAATGTTTCATACCTTGAGAAGATTTTCAGCAGAAATGGTTTCACAAAGTTCCAAAATAGAATCCTACAAGAGAACCAAATTAAACAATATTTTAGTTCATTTACATCCTAAATACCATTCTCTAGAAAAACACAGAGTAAGTACATTGTAACGAACCTCCCTTGAGGCAGAAGAATCTGATATTGAGGAATTATGATTTGAAAGGGACCAAAATCCTGGTGCAGGAAAGAACTGAGGACACAAGTAATTGAGTCGTGCAGCAATTCTTGCACTAGATTTCAAAATTGGAATCTCTATATTTTTCCTGAAAACAGTTTCATAATCAAGGAGTAATAACTCACAGCGAGTGAACAAAAAGAAAGCATTTTTAAAAATGACTAGCAGCTAACCTTTCATGCCCAGCTATGATATGTTGTGTAGAACCAAACTTCTTCATCCATTTTTGGTAATTTGCACAACTAATCATCAATGCAGGACTTAAATGAATTATACACGTGACACTCTTGCCCGTGGAATCAGCATAATAACTAGAGAGTGATTGAACGGACAGTAATGCTTCCAAATGTGATTCAGTTGGGCAATCAACGAGAAGGACTGTGGGACCAGGAACTGAGGGACCCATGACATCACTTGGGTGAACCTGTTATGGAAGATAAAATTACACATTAAAGTGGGCCTAACATCAAAATAAATAAATTAAATCATATTTGAGCCATTGAAATATGTCCCAAGTTCTCATTTTCTTTGTTCTCCAATACTTCCACCTAGCTTCTGGTAAATGAACCGCTTCAACTTTGGGACTTACCAAAATATTTTGCCTATCTGATTTCACTGAATTCCCAAGTTGCAGTTCACGATATTTTGGCCCAGGTTTAAGACCAAAGGCCTTGGCTTTCTCTGGATCAAACTTTCCTTTGATCTCAGGCAATTCACAAATATATAGTACAGACATATCACCAGGCTTTCCAGTAGGCTGTTTTAAGATGTTGGATGAGCCAAGATGCTCTGGGCTATGACTCATCCTCTCTTGTGATTGATTCGCTGAAGCTACCAAGGGTGAACCTTCAGAGTGGTTTGGTTGTAAAATAATGGCTGATATTTTGACCACCTCATTATCAACAAGAACAATAGGATCTGAAAACTTATTTTGACCTAGAATGGTGGATTCATCAGTGTTGGAGATGGGACCAAAACTCCTTGTGTGAACCATGGCAGCATTGGGAATAAAAGATCCCATAGCATCTATCAAATATTTAAGATCTGAGGGCCCCCATATGTTGACCTGCAAAATAGCAGTGACTATGAAGCACCAAAAAATGAAAATACAATGCAACATTCCATATGAAAATAAGATATGGATGGTAATGAAGTTCATTGGTTACTTACAGTCATCCCCTCTTCTCCCATGCCAGCCAAAGTAAGTAGTAAGCCTGTGCATTGAAGACTATAATAAGTACTTTAAGACTCAACAAAAAGTTGTTTGGATCACCAATCAAAATATTATCGAAGATGCTAATCTAAAACAGGTAACAAATGATAAGAATAACGACTAAAGCTACTACATTGTCAAATGTCAAAGACAGACCTGGAAGCCCACCCGCAGTCTCTGAAGAGACACGAGAAAGAAAAATGTGATCTATCTGAGGGAATATAAAAGATTGAAAGAAACTTATTGTGAGTAACTATGTTAGCATGCTGATAATTAACAATTGTAAAATAACAATTCTGAGAAGGAAAAACGTCAAGTTCCCATATTTATCAAACCTTGGATAACTTGATCTTGTGTTCTGTGCAAAACCGTTGCAGTCCCTTAAATGCATAAAATACAATTAGTTTATTGAACGCTTGTAGGTGGTCATCAAGTTTCCAAAGACAAATATAAAATAGAAAAAATAACTTGTTACATTATATTATCCAAAACATTCGCAAATATCACCTCCTCAGATTCAAGTGATACATTAAACTTTCACCCTCTAATTTTAAGCCTTAAGGCCAAGGAAAGGCATTTTCTCTAAATGTCCAAAAATATATTTATACTTTCTAAGATCTTGGAAACAAGTCCCCCAACAGGAAAAAGAGACAGAAAAATTGCCCCTCAGAAATAATAGGCAAAATGTGAGCAATTCAGTTTTTATATTGAAAAAGAAAAAAAGTATCATAGAATTTCATGCATATACTACTTACTTCTCCAGCATTAAATATAAACCTTTGATTGTCAAAGAAAAGCAGGACTGAAGGCGATGTATCTTGAGTATCCATTCCCGTACCTAATATCTGTGGTCGGCACAAAATACAAAAAGAATATATGAGAACAGGGGGAAAACTTGCAAGTGAAAAATGAAAATAACACGGAACCAGCAGAACCACACCCTCTTTTACAATGAAAATTAGCAACTTGCTTTGTTAGAGAAGAAGAAGAGCAAATTTCTGTTGCAAAATCAAAATGGGGATGCATTGACCATGTTGAACAATTCAGTTTCTTGTCATTCGATCAATCCTAATTTTCTGGAGGGGCACAAATGCCTCCAGAAAATTAGGATTGCTGCTAGATTATTGAAGGGAAGGAGCTTTTTAGTTCCTTTCCGGAGGCAGAAATGCCAGGCCCAAATGTATCCTTATATATTATATATGTATTCTATGAGAGTGAGAGAATCATCATAATTAAAACAGCAAGAACTTTGCTGCCACTAACAATCTTAAGTAGCATTACAAAATCCGAAACAGAATATGCAAGATCAGGGGGGAAATTGCAAGTGAAAAGAACTGCTTTCTTCATTATGGAAGACAAAAGGAGTAAATTTCTGACAGAGACATCCCAAGTAAGAAGTGTGAACATTAAAATCAAGCATTCTCAATTTGCATAGAGTACCCAAATCAAATTTAAGACTAATGAACGAACTTCAGACTTTGTCATATGACAAAATGTAGAACCCTAAAAACAAATGCTCAAATTTTTGCCCCGCCAATCCAATACTAACAGAAAAGATTTTGGATAACCTATCAATGGAGTATCCTTTCAGGCAATATGAAAGTAACCAATTTCTACAAAAAGAAATACCTGTACATAAGATATGGTATTGACAGGATTTAGCTTGCGAACTTTCAACTGTAGGTTCTTCTTAGGCAAACCACTTGAATCTCTACCCTCAGCTCTTCTCTTGTTGAAGCCAACAGAGTCAACGTTCTCCATTGCTGTGTCTTTTCCCCTGTCTTTGGTTTCTCTAGTACTACTACTGCTTCTGCGGCCAAGATGACGGAAAGGGGCGTTACGGCGTGGTCTGAAAGAGGAGGAGGAAGCAAGAACAGTGAAGAGAGATTGCGAGGTTCTAGGTTTGAAAAATAAGCGAGAAGAAAGAGAAGGAGTTATTAAGGGAGCTAGAGAGGGAAGAAGGAGGCGAAATGTTGAAGCTTGGGGCATTGTGGTTCATCGGACTCTTAAATCTGCCCGGAGGGTTTTAGACCTGCAACGATAACCTGTTAAGATCCCGCCAACACGTCTCCGGGTTCCTGCTAAACAATAAATCTCAGCCATACATCCAATCGAGGAGCTCACAACGGACCACGTCCCACGGCTTTAAAATTTCATCTGGACCGTCCGTTTTGAAACAATCCAAGTTCGAATAGAGAAAATATTTTCTTAATGTTTATTAATAAATTTTAGCCATTCAATTTATATTATACCAATCTATGAGGTTCTGTTTATAAATTCAATAATTAATAAGATAAGATGGATTATATACTTCATTTTTTCAGTATAAGTAATAACATATGTCAGTAAAAAAAAAAAGTAATAACGTGTGGGATTTTTTTTTTGGTCAAAGTAATAACATGTAGGATTGAATTCATGATTGTGCCAACAAAGATAAAGAGGGTGTCATTAGGCAACTAGGCTATTTTGCCATTGACTAATATGAGGTAACAGTTTGTTAAATTTTCGCAGAGGGGTTCAATTTTTGCTGTTTTAAAAATTTAGTTTAAAGCGCAATCACCGTAGGCTGGAGTAGCTCAGTTGGTTAGAGCGTGTGGCTGTTAACCACAAGGTCGAAGGTTCAAGCCCTTCCTCTAGCGTCTTCTAATGTTTTTGGTTTTTTCGCTTCCAATCCACATTCCCCAGCCCATCTCTTCAGGCATATCCGATAAGGTACTGAAAGGCTAAAAGCAACCACATGGCATCTCTCCTGCAAACCGAAGCCAAATATCCTTTCTTTGGCAAATTTGAAAAGCCAACCTTTTCCTGTCCTCAAAATATCAAAAATGGGACTTCTCAATCTCCAACTCAGCTCTCACTCTTCATGCGCTTTATCACTATCCCAAAACTTGAAAAACACCACAAAAGCTAACAAATCTCTAAATGCTTTCAACTCTAAGCGTCCGAGCTCTGCCAGAGCCACAATTAGAGCTGTCGGCACTGTCCCAGAGAAGGAATCTCAGAACACTGAACCAGCAGAACCACCCTCTATTGGATTTGCATTTGTCAGTGTAAGTCTGAGAGAGTATATGTGAATTTTACATTGAAAGTTAGCAACTCACTTTATTACAGAAGAAAGAGCAAATTTCTATTACAGAACTTGATGGTAAAAGAAAATTCTGTTACAGAAGAAAAGGGGAGGTAATGATCATGTTGGAATTTTCAGTTTCTTCTCATTGGGTCAATCCTCATTTTCTGGGTTTGTTTTTAGTCTGTTTTGCTCCCAGATGGAACCCCAGATGTGCAATATCGAACGGCTTGTGGAGGCCAGAAGCTCAGGAACATAATGCTGGATGCCAATATTGATCTGTACGGACCATATGTAAGCCTTGAAATATCTCTCACCTTATATAAATCGATCAGCAATCAATGTATGCATCTATTTTAGTTTGCTAAATTACAAGTATATGACGTTATTAAACTTGTATGCTTAAATGATAAATGGCATAACAAGAGTAAATTGAATTCGAGAGAAATCACAAGGATAAACTATAATTTAGTTGTAATCATATGTTTTCTTTCAGGCAAGACCTCTCTTAAATTGTTCAGGAGGTGGAACGTGTGCAACATGTATGGTAGAGGTAGGTAAATAACTCGTATTGAACTTCAAAGAAGAAAAACTTCCATTACTTAGTAACATTGGCTGCGATCATACTACCCACTAGTGATTAACTTGCTGATTGCTGCTAGATTATTGAAGGGAAGGAGCTTCTAAGCCCTCGCACTGATAAAGAGAATGAAAAACTTAAGAGGGTAAATGTTTTGCTGCTCATGTTGATTTTGTCTCTAGCTTAATTTCCCCTTAAGTTCTATTTGTTGAGCCCACCATTGTCTTGGGAAGATAATAATTCTGTTCAATGGGTGTTTCAGAAACCAAAGAATTGGAGATTAGCATGTCAAACAACAGTTGGTCAAGCAGACTCTACAGGGATGGTTTGTGATTTTTGACTCTCATACTATTTAATATTCCTAATCATTTGTAGATAGGAGTTTTCATCTTAAGGTTCATCTTATCACACAAGAATAGCTCTAATAGATGAGAGCAAATAAACGCTTTGATTGTTTTGGCTCTCATGCTATTTATTTAATACTGTCTTGTATGTGTTGGATGCAGCTTGTGGTTCAACAACTACCGGAATGGAAAGGGCACGAGTGGAAATATGATAAGCTATCTCCTGAAGAGGCTGAAAAGTTATTGTCTTCACCTGAGACTCAGTAGCATAAAACAATTAAGGATAGGGCTTTTTCTTGTAGTAATTGGTGCTTATGAAGAAAATCCTGGAAACTTGTTATAAAGAGTAGTATTCTTCTGTTTTAAGGCTCTTCAATCAAGAAATATGATGAAATAAAACAGAAGAATCTGAGGCTTGGCACAATCATAAGTAGCCCATTTGAACTTTGGTTCGGTTAGGCCGTTAAGGGGAGTAAGTGGCAACTCATCTGCACTTTGCACGAATATTTCTATATAGGATTTTGGGGGTATAATAATTGACAGCTTCACCTGTAATTTGTACCAATATCTCAATATCCCCATGAATAATGATCCATCTCGAGCAGTTGTGAAGTTATTTACTACCTCCGGTATAAAAGAGATCTTAACCGGAAGAATTATTAACTAATCACGAAAGTTCTTTGCCCTGAAGAACGTACCAACCCACCAGTTGTAATAATTCAAAAAGAATTAATACGCCTGTTTATTAATTTAAGAGTTGGTTTGGCATCTACTTCAGTTCTAAATGAGATTCTAATTTACTTTTTCTTATATTTATCTATTTTTTTTCTAAAATAGTCATTATGATAGTTGCACATTTTAAATGTTTCATCAGATAGTAATTCTAACTAAATAGTTGCACATATTAAATGTTTTATCAAATAGTAGTTTTAACTAATACAAATAATTAGTAAAGGTGTTTTAAAAAAAAAACACATGTATTATAAATAACTAATTTAACTAATTTTCTTCATATACTCAAAGTAGTCAACTAGCTCTTATAATAAGGAATGATACTTATCACCATCTGGAAGTTAGAGAATATGATTAATGTTGGAGCCAGGAAATCGTCTAGTGTTTAGCAGAATACTGAAATCGGACAGGCGATCATCATCGTGTTCCAGATGAAAAACATAAGCCCACGCTAAATTCTGGATTCGCTGTATGTCTTGTCATGTTTTTTTTGTTTGTTCCTTTTTTTTTTTAATAAATTTCTCCCTCTATTTTGGCCATGGGGTCTTGCCGATGGTGGTTTCCTCTTTACATTAATCCCTTCTCCATGTTCTTCGGAGCGTTTGAATTGGCTGCCTCAGTGGATTTTGCCCAAACTTAATTTTAAAGATCAGGTGTTTCATAAATGTCATGTCTGGTCCTAATTATAAGACCTCGTTTGTAGACATGTTTGAACAAAAACTAAGATGTACTATATCCGGTTATAATTATAAGATCTTGTTTGTGTCGGGTGTTTCAAAAATATTACTTCCAATCCTAATTATAAGAGCTCGTGTGTGTAGACATATTAGTTTTTGTTCAAACGTGAAGTTATCCAATTCAAATGAAATACAATAAATTAAATTAAGTAGTTGTGATTAAAATGCCAAATCCATATTCATTGTCATCGGATGCGTCTCTGCCTTTATTTGAAAGAGTCTAATGAGTTATGATCCCCGACTGGCAAATGGACATCACTTCCAGGTTGTTTTTATTTGATATTTTATGATTTCTTTAATTATATATTTATTGTTAAAAGAAAAGAGAAACATAAACTGATCATTACCCACAATGAGTGTGGAACTGGGACAGGAAAAAGAAGAATGGAGCTCAACCATCTTTACAAGTTCGAATCAAAACAGAACAAAAAGACCCAGTACAAAAGAAAAGGAAAAGAAAAGGAAGGAAAATCAAAAGAAAGATGGCTTTCCTCCTTTTCTTTATTTCAGAAAAGCACGAATTTTTTCAAGCCCCACAGGTTCAAAACAAATCAGTATTCACTAGCCAGAGGAACGTGCTCAGTGGTCATGAACACATTGCCGTAGATGAGACCGGCGAGGCCACCGCCGACCAGGGGTCCAACCCAGTAGATCCAGTTGTCGTGGAAGTCGCCGCTGACCACGGCGGGGCCAAATGAGCGAGCTGGGTTCATTGAACCACCGGAGAATGGTCCAGCGGCCAAGATGTTAGCTCCGACGATGAATCCAATGGCTATGGGTGCGATTGTGCCCAATGAGCCCTTCTTGGGGTCGGCTGCTGTGGCGTACACTGTGTAGACCAATGCGAATGTGATGATGATCTCCATCACTACTCCTTCACCAGCTCCGACTCCTGCAGCTACGCTGTGGATGGGGATCGCCTGACAAGAAAGAAATCACAATTTTTGTTCATACTTGAGCCAAACACGAAGTAGATTAAGACTATTTTCTTGCTTCATATTCAGATTTCTATGATATGTAACTATCCTCTTTGTTTTCTGCATGAAGCTTGTGGTTCAAGTTAGGGAATTTACAAGAAAATTCTTAATTACTAGATCAAGCTTTTGGCATAGTTAAGTTAGCTATTTTATTGAGAAAAAAGAGTGACTGAAAAGGGATGGTTTGAGGTTAAGACTTACCGAGCCTCCAGTGACGAACTTGAGGAGTAAGCATGCCACAATGGAGCCAACAAGTTGAGCAATCCAGTAGAAGATACCAGTGAGGATGGTGATCTGGCCACCAAGAGCCAATCCGAAGGTGACAGCTGGGTTAACATGGCCACCTGAGATGTTGGCACCAACAGCGACAGCCACAAAGAGAGCAAAACCATGGCATACTGCAATTGCTACCAAACCAGCAGGGTCAAGAGCTGCATCTGATGTCAACTTCCCTGCATTGCACAAAACAACACAAACAAAATTGTCAGAATTTCGAGGGATTTAAGGAAGAAGAACAAGCTGAGTTGTTTATTTTCAAGACATCTCTCTCAAAGTCAAAGTGCCTGTCAGAGGATTCATAAATTGATATATGTGAGTGTTAGCAGTTAGTACCATAGGCCATGGCTGAACCAACACCAGCAAAAACAAAGAGCAAGGTGGATATGAACTCAGCGATATAGGCCTTAATGGAGGCCGAGTTGAAAGAATCATCAAAGCGTCCCAAAGATATGCCTGCCATCTTTCAGAAGTTTCTAGGGGAACCCTTAAAAGATAGGAAAGTGAAATATTCAGAATAAGGAATGCTGCTCAAAAGTCCTCTCTGGTACGACATATATATATAGTAGAAATTACCAAGAAGAGTATTAAGGACTTACCATAGCTTCATTAATATTACTGCACTGTAGTGTATGTTTGTTTGGAAGTTGAAAAGGAATATAGTTACATGGCCCAGGCAAAAAATGAATGGAATATGGTTGGTTTACAACATATCCATGCACATCCAATCAGGATTTTCTGGCAACCTTAGCTGTCACTAACATGCTTTTATTAAAAAAAAAAATGTCTGGAAGCTAGTAAATTATTCCTCCATGTGCATACAAGATAGGGATAGAAGTGGTGTTCGATCAACTAATCATAAAAGAACATGAAAGTGGATGACATGAATAGCTTTGGGCCACATATAGCATAGACGTGCTCTAAAAACATGGCAGAGTAGTGGGAATTGAAAATGAGTGGATATAAATTAATGAGGTTTTTTTAAATAATGAATCATGTTACAGAAATATTTGGCTTTGTTTGTGTAATGCAAAACAGAACTTTACCACAAAAGAAGATCGGTTTTTTCCCATATGTGATTCACTGATTCTCTATGGTATAGACAAAGATTGAAGTTGAAATGTCTGCTATTGAATGTTCAGTTAGATCCATGCACCAACCATTTTGAGCTCAGTCTTTGAACAAATTTTTGAGCGAGGATCAACAGTAAGAAATATTAATTTTTATATAGTGGAATTTCTTGAATAATGTATGGCAAATAGTAGTTGATGAAATTATTTAAGAATACTAAACTATAAAATGCAGCAGCACAAAAAACTCGACCCTGAAGTTTCATTTAGATTAAGCACACCAACTCATCAAAGAGTTATGTCTGATGCAGAGAAGGTGAGACTTTTCCATATAATGCCATTAAAGCAGCTCATGTTTGTCTCAATTGCTGTTTATGGGCCACAATTTAATTGGAATCTCTACCTGGCAACCATTGTTAGATAAGATAAACTAATCAAAAACTCATAAGCTAGGAACATCTAATTTATTTTTTTAAAACCAATAGCTGATTACTTGTCTGTTCATGCATCATAGATTAACTTCATCTAGTTTTGCCTCCCTTCCAAGTTTTTTCAGATCATAATAGTCAATTCGAATTTGAACTACACATGACAGCGAATTCAGATATAAATTTTTGGCTGATGATACTACCTCCCTCTTTAATATAAAAATTTGTTTGACTTTTAATTTGATCATAAATATAAGATCCTAATCCACTTTGTCTTTCATATTTATCTTTTTTTTTTTAAAGATAGCCCTTATAGTAATAGTAGTTTTAACCAATACTCTTAATTAGCAAACATATTTTAAGAAAGACAATACCTATTTATTATAAATAACTAACTTAACTAATTTTTTTAATCTACTCAAATTAGTCAATTAGCTCTTATATTAAGGACAAGAAGTAGTATAATATACTCCTCCGATCCTAAATTTAAGACCCTTGTTATAAGGGTCTTATATTTAGGAACGGAAGAGTAGTTTTGAACGGTGGTATGCTTGTGTTTTGTAATTCAAGTGTCCAGTGAACCTCATTTTGCCATGGCCTTCATGATTTCCGGTGTTGCCCGATCTCATTCTATGCGCAAATGTAGGGGTCAAAAACAAAATAATCTGGGTATTTTCCTTCGAGTTTCATGATCAACAACGAGTGAAAGGCTTATCTATCATAAAAGTTTGATTTTTTTTTTTTTTTTATTTTGGTTTTATGTGCCAAGTACATGAAGAGTGATGATTAGGATCCAATCTGATGCAAGACACATGGTCATGACTCATTGGCCCCCCCAAAAAAAAAATATTTGAATAATACGTGAGAGTCATTTCCATTCAGAAAACTTGCAGCAATTCAACAGCATGGGCTTGTGATCCCAACTTGTAGCAAAACAAAGGTTTAGCCGAAGGAGCGGATGCCTAACTAGGCTGACAAAAAGTTTAGACAGAAAAACAATTAAGCGTTGGCCCAATTGGTGGGGCTCTTGAGATGTTCTCGCTCCCAATAGAAGTTTTACTATTTTCAATTCAAACTTCTCTACCAATAGAGTTGAATCTAACAAAAAAAAAAATTAGTCGCTTATAATATAGTAAACTAAAATTCAAATTCCCATTCAGGTGCTCGTATTTAGTACCTAATAATATCTAGAATAAGATTACTTCTAATAAGAGGATACTTGTGTTTTAGTCAAAAAAATTCAAACTTCTCTCATTTTATCTCTTACGTATAATCCGGATGAAGACGAAAGAGAACAAAAAGTTTCACATTACAGATTATACCACGGTTCTTCTTACCGTAAGGTTTCTATTTTTTGCAGCGTTCCATCAAGTTTAAAAAATAAGACAAGTCAAATTGATTGGGACTGGAACGAGACATAACTAAAAACCCCCCAAAATTTATTTTAATACATTGATTGAACTTGTCATTTCAACAAAGTTTTTTAAGTGATTTTTAACATTGACAACTTGTTGATAAAATATTGATAAGTCGTGATTCATGACTTCATATTATGACAATTTATTTTTTTAATTATCGAGAAGTTGTGATGTGGATTTAGATGAAGTTGTGATTTTTGAACATTGATGACTTGCTCTTAAAACATTAACAAATTTTAATTTGATTTTGACAAGTTATGATTTAACAAGTCTCTGAATAGAAACTTCTTATTAAAATGTTGACAAATTGTTGTAGATAATTTATGGCAATTTTTCTAAAATAAATAACTACTCCTCCGGTCCTAATTATAAGACCCAATTGACTTATTTGAGGAGATTAAGGAAGTAAGTTAAGTTGGTTATTTATAATAAATAAGTGTTGTCATTCCTAAAATATCCTTGCTAATTAAGTATATTGGCTAAAACTATCATTATTAGAAGGATTATCTTAAAAAAATGCATAAATATAAGAGACAAAATGGATTGGGTCTTATAATTAGGACCAAATAAAAAGTCAAATTGAGTCTTATAATAAGGACCGGAGGAGTAATATAAATAGTTTTAGACGCCGACTACAATATGCACACACATATTCCTTTTAAGCCCAGGAGTTATCACTCCAACAGCTGCCTGGGGTCTGGTGATATTTTTTTTTCCCCAAAGAATGAACGATATTTTAGTAATTTAGCAACAAAAATTTAATTCTAGTGGTCCTTTGATGTAAAAAATAATTTCAGATTCAATTAAGATTTTTTGACATTTACATCTTTGTCCTGGAATTTAAACATGATTCTCCTGATATTTATGCATAATATAAAATTTACCAGAAGCAGTGGTATTTTTTGGCACAAAGTAATATTATACTACTTCGGCTCATTAATATAAGTATTAGTTGGGCTTTTAATTTGTTTTTAAATATAAGATTCTTATCTACTTTATTTTTTATATTTATTTATTTTTTCTAAGATAGTTCTTATAATAGTTGTACATATTAAATGTTTTATCAAATGATACTTGATTAGTAAGAGTATTTTAAGAAAAATAATACTCTTTAGGTCTCTAATATAAAACCTATTTAACTAATTTGATTAGATTAATAACGTTAGGTAAGTTAGTTAATTATAAGAAATATGATACGTTTTTCCTAAAATACCATAATCATCTTTTTTAATAACCCTCTTCCTCTTCTACTTGATTATGATTGAAGGAGTATCTATAGGAATAATTTAAAGAAAATTGATAAATATGATAAATGAGTCTTATATTTATGATCAAAACTAATTTAATAATTGGTTTCTATATTAAGGATTAGAAGAGTATCTACTCCTCCGGTCCTAATTATAAGATCCAATTGACTTATTTGAGGAGATTAAGGAAGTAAGTTAAGTTGGTTATTTATAATAAATAAGTGTTGTTATTCCTAAAATATCCTTGCTAATTAAGTATATTGGCTAAAACTATCATTATTAGAAGGATTATCTTGGAAAAAAATGCATAAATATAAGAGAGAAAATGGATTGGGTCTTATAATTAGGACCAAATAAAAAATCAAATTAGGTCTTATAATAAGGACCGGAGGAGTATTTATTAAAATTAACTAACTTAACTAAATTTTTTAATTTACCTAAATTGTATATTAATTAGAGGAGTTACTGTTAGTAAAAAGTAATTTTTAAATGCACCATTTCTTGATCCTAGCTAACGTGCTCCGCGATCGTTGAACGAGCGTTCCCGGGTCAACTTTCAATGTTGAACTTACATGCTGGTGAATCACCGACTGCGCAGTCCCGATCGGTTCTTGGAGCCTGAAACTGTCGATACTGGCGCGTAAAGGCGCAAAACGTTCTCTTCATCATCGTTTCATTGATCTGTACCTCTCCGTGTTGCTGGTTTTCCTTCATTTATTCTCTTGTCCCATCATCGTGAAACTTGTGACTTTTTTATGTATTTCCTAGACATTGCGGTCTCCGTTTGATTCGTTTAACGCTTGGTTAGCACGAAATCTCGGGTTCTCAGATTCCAGGTTCCTTTCTGCGTCCTGGGTTTCATTTTCTTAATCGCCTCTCTTTCTTAACGATCGATCTGCTGCTGTTGAATATCAATCCTACTGGGTTGCAATTGCATGGGATCGAAGGTTAACATTTTTTGAAATTTAATCGCCTTTGGATTCTTGGTTCTCTGTATTTAACTTAGTGGGTTGGGCGAATTCTGTTGGACCAATTTGGAAATCATGGATTCGAGTCGGAGAGCGGTGGAATCATATTGGAGGTCGCGGTTGATTGATTCAGCTACGTCCAACGAAGACAAAGTTACGCCGGTGTACAAATTAGAAGAAATTTGCGAACTTCTGCGGTCTTCGCATGTTAGCATTGTGAAAGAGATTTCAGAATTCATCTTGAAGCGGCTCGAGCATAAGAGCCCAATTGTAAAACAAAAGGTTCATTTGTTCTTAAGATTTTTATTTACTTGCTAAACTTGGGGTCAAATTTTTGTATGTGATGGATTGGGCTGATTCGCGGTTGAACTTTTTAATCTAGAGTTCTTT